ATTGAGTCAGAAAGAGTGGAAAAGAAAGAGTGAGAAAAATGGGGAGAGACCTCTGCGGCTGAACAGAGGAGCTCGGAGGAATGGAATGGGAGATAAACCAGTGGACTAGAGGGGCAGATAGAAGACTCTCCCTCAAAGAAAGGGAAAGTGAAAAAGACAGTGAATGAGTGACTGGTGCTGGGAGAATGAGGAGCAAAGAGGAAGAGCACAGGGCGGTCAAGAGGACAGCAGGGCAAGAGGGAAGGGTGGCGGAAACCGAGATGCTGAGGCCCAAATTGAGCTGGGCCTACTGGGGCCTGCTGGGGGGAGGCGTGAACAGTCACGGAAAGTTTGAGTCTGGGCTAGTCACAAACCACCTGCCTCCGAGGGCCGATGGGTCTGGAACTTCCCTCCGAAACTCATGGCCCTGTAACTCATTCTCTTATCTCTGGTACCATGGACATCAGAGATTCAGCTATTTCAACAGCTGGGGCTTTTTTCTCTCTGTCCATTTGACCTCTTACAAAAGAATTAGGTTAAGGTTGTGTTTTGGGGTTCAGAGGATGTATATCACTTGAGTCAGGCTAGATTCTGAGAAGGGTGTTACAGTGAGGTCTTCTGGGGGTGACCCTCTGGCTGCCTGTAGGCAGCAGAGCCCTGGTGTGCGGCAGGGCAGGCAAGGTGGAGGGGGCAAGACCGTGTATGTGGAGCAGAGAGGCAGGGACCATGATCGTGTACAGGTTTGGGGTCATGCTGGCGGGATCGTCCCGGCAGCCCCAGCTTCTCAGAGTCAAAGGGAGAGTCTGAAACCTCAGCAGGGGGTGTGCATGTTGGTGCAGTGGTGACACCCATGCTACGAGCTGAGCGACATGGGAAGGCTCTGGGTACATGTCCAGAGACCTCCCTGAACACATTGGCCACATGTGCCCACTATCCAGGCTAGCTGGGACTAGGCATGGGGACACTGAGAGTACTGTCTCTCTCTCTGTGTCTCTCTTGCTGATGGAAGAAATAAATGAATTTTTTTTTTTGAGAAAAACTTCAGCATGGGACCCACTCACACTAGGTTTTCCCTCAGCTCCTCATGCATGTCCACCAGAGACCTGCAAGTTCTCTCCACTTTGGGAAAAGAATGCCTTTGGTAGTTCAACACTTCTTTCTTTTCTTTTTTTTAAAAAAAGACTTATTTAACTTTATTTATTTATTTTAATTTGACTAGAGAGGGATAGAGCAAGAGACAGAGAGAGAGAAAGAGAGGGAAAGTGAGAAATCA